TGCTTAAGAAAATGTTGTCTTAGTGTTTTTAGAAATCAACTTAAAATCGTACATAAAAATAACAGTTTTCAGAGCCATCGTTGAGTAACTGCAGAATTTTCTACCTGCTAGAATTTTGACATGTGAAGTATGTAAGTAAATTTTCATTTTTTAAATATTTATTTATTTTTAATTCATATCCAAGTTAGTAGCATATAGTGCAATAGTGATTTCAAGAGTAGATTCTAGTAATCCATCCCCTATATATAACACCCAGTGCTCATTCCAGCAACTGTCTTCTTTAATGCCCCTTACCCATTTAGCCCATCCCCCCACCCACAACCCCTCCAGCAAAGTAAATTTTCACTTTATGTCTAGAATGCTCCCCTATATTTGAAAGTGAATATTCAGCTTTAGTAACAAACTCAAGTCCTGTGTCCTGTTTGTTTAACTGTCATTACACTGATTAGGTTTGTTTATACCCTGGTGGTTCCTATTATCATGGATCATATTGTCCAAAATGCTAAAAACCATGGAGGCCTTCCAAAGGCTAAGGTTGAAGTCCAAATCAAAGAGCAGGTTTTGGTCAAATCTTTAGGTTGACATTAAACTATATAAGGTAGGGTCGTTTTCTTAATTTTTTGAAGCTTTATCTTCTTTATCTGAGAAGGAGGACACCACCTCTTCTTTCCACCTCTTATTAGATTGTTGTAAAGATAAGACCTAGACAGTAAAGTCCTTGATAAATGATAAAGGTCTATATATACACACAATGTGCTGTATATACACACAATTCTTAGTCATTACAGAAATGTTAGCACATCTTCTATTGTACCAGCAAAAGGACAATGGCAGTGTGTTTGTATAATTGGTGTTTGTAGATGTTTTATTCCTCAAAATCTTCACGCCAGGAATCCCATCATTAAGCCATACTCAGTGTGTCCCTTTATTCCCCTGACATAACCCACTTCCAGCCCTGACTGCCTCATGCTTGGTCTAGATACTTAACCTCAGTAATGCTCTCCCTGTCTCCAGGCCCCTGTTCGCCATTCTGTCCAGAATGCCAGGACCATATTCATCTTCCAACAGATTTTTATACGCCATCTTAAACTCAGGTGGTGCTCCCCCTGGCTTACTAGATACAGTCTGAACCATCTGTAAAGTCCTTCACAATCTCAGTACAACTTAGACTCTTCCTACTCTCCCCGCGACCCTACCCCTCCCATTCCCTATGAGCCAGTCAAGTCAGGCCTCTTGTTTTCCCTCCCTGTGACTTTACACATTTCAGAGTCAGCATCTCTCTCTCTCTATGTGTCTTTTACATAAAATGCCCTCTTCCTCCTCTCTTGCCTGTAGACATCTTGGCTATCGTTTCAGACCCATTTCACAGTCATCACTTACAACAGACTCTATAGGCACATATGTATACAAAACATACACATGTATAAACATATTTCTAACTATGTTTCATTCTAATTACATAAATAATCCAGGCTTTTTAAAAATGAGTCAATATATAAAACTACAAGAAGGAAAATAGAAATTGCTTGGACTGTCAGTCTTGAGACACAACCACCATGAACATTTTGGTGACTCTTTCTTGTTCTTCTTCGTATAGGAACGTATAAACATTTATCTTGTTATCTTATATGATTCAGATAAAATTTTACCTGGTTTTTAAAATCATATTCAGTTTTATGTATAAATAAAAGTCTGGTGTTTGTTTTGTGTTTTACATAGCTCCCTTCTCAACCTCTCCTTCTATTTCCCCTTAGAAACTCACCTTAGGTAATCCATGTTAAAAACTTGTTGCATATTTTCCCGTACCTTTTTCTCGCATGCTATTTATTTTCAAAGTAGACTCATAAAAGCATGATAACATTTCTCCAAGTCACTTAATACAGAGTTAATCTATTAAAAATTAATCTATTGGGGCACCTGGGTGGCGCAGTCGGTTAAGCGTCCGACTTCAGCCAGGTCACAATCTCGCGGTCCGTGAGTTCGAGCCCCGCGTCGGGCTCTGGGCTGATGGCTCAGAGCCTGGAGCCTGCTTCCGATTCTGTGTCTCCCTCTCTCTCCGCCCCCGCCCCCCGTTCATGCTCTGTCTCTCTCTGTTCCAAAAATAAACAAACGTTGAAAAAAAAAATTAAAAAAAAAAATAAAAAAAAATAAAAATTAATCTATTTTCTTTGTTCACATAGCCACAAATAAATATAATTTTATATAAATTCATGCTTGTTCTCACAGTCAAGCTTTTTGGTGCCACCTTTATTTGCCATTCTCCCTCTTTCTTCCTTTTCTTGGTGGGGGGTGGCATGTATTCTCTTCCTCTCATTTATTCTCTTTGGTTACATAATATTATACACATACCACACTTTATTTTACTATTTCCCTACTGATGACTTTCCATTTTGTTTCCACTTTTTTTGCAGAGACAGTACTACCATAAGAATGCATGTGTGTGTGTGTGGGGGGGGGTGAATTCTTGCTTTTAATTTGATGGGTTAGATTCTAAGTTAAAGGAAATGTGCATTTCTAATTTTAGAAATTAGATTTCTAATTTCTAAATCTAGAAATTTAGAATTCATATTTTCATTAACAATGAATGTTTGAGAGTGCTATCTCCTCATCTTTACAAATTAATCTGAGTCTTATCTGAGATTCAGTATGATCCTCTCTTTGCCACTTGGATTTGCACTTCCGTGACTACTGTAAAGGAGGAGGAGATCTTCAAATGCAAAGTGATCATTTGCATTGCGCTTATGTGAATTGCCCAGCTTATGTGAATTGCCCATCCCTGTTTTTTGCTCACATTTGTATCAGGTTTATATTTTTCTAACCAAATTGTAAAAGCAACATGTATCTTATTGTGGTAGGTAGCCTTCTAAAGTGATTCCCAGTAAACTCCCATCCTGTTATTCATGCCCTGGTATAATCCCGTCCTATGAGTGTGGACTTTATTCCAAAGATTAGTGTACAGCAGAAGTGATGTGATATCACTTCTGTGATCGGTTACAAAAGAACACGATTTCCATTTTGCTGGTATTCTCTCTGTGGCTGTTCTCATCTGTTTGCTCTGATGGAGAAAGCTACCTGGCACAGAGCTAAAGGGCAATAGCCCTTAAGAAACAGAGGCCCTGGGGCACCTGGGTGGCTCAGTTGGTTAAGCGTCCGACTTCGGCTCAGGTCATGATCTCACGGTCCGTGAATTCAAGCCCCGTGTCAGGCTCTGTGCTGACAGCTCGGAGCCTGGAGCCTGTTTCAGATTCTGTGTCTCCCTCTGTCTCTGACCCTCCCCCGTTCATGCTGTCTCTCCCTGTCTCAAAAATAAGTAAACGTTAAAAAAAATTAAAAAAAAAAAAAAAAGAAACAGAGACCCTTATTCCAAAGTCCTTAAGAAGTGAATCCTGCAAACATCCATGTAAGGTTGGAAGAAGATCCTTTCCCATTCAAGCCTTCAGATGAACCTGTAGCCTGGCTAACATCTCACTTGCAGCCTATAGAAGACCCTGAAACAGAGGACCCAGTTAATTTGTGCCTGGGTTCCTAACCCACAGAAATGGAGAGTAAGAAGTATTGCTCCAAGATGCTAAGTTTTGGGGTTATTTCTTTTGCAGAACTAGGTAATGAATACAATTGCATATACCACATTTTCTTCTGGATTATATATTGCAAATATTTTTTTCCTGATCATTAAGTTTTTTCTTGACTTTGTTTATGATATCTTTCTCCATACAGGATTAAATATTTTTAATTTTTTAACATTCGTTTTTGAGAGACAGAGACAGAGTGCGAGCAAGGGAGGGGCAGAGAGAGACACACACAGAATATGAAGCAGGCTCCAGACTCCAAGCTGTCAGCACAGAGCCCAATGCGGGGCTCAAACTCACGAACTGCAAGATCATGACCCTGAGCTACCCAAGCACCCCTAAAATTTTTATATACCATGTTTTCTTTGATGGCTTTTAGATTTGATGAACTATGTAAGTATCTCTCCAATGCCTATGCAGTATCTAGAGTCTGTTAAACATTTTCTAATACTTTTAATATTTTATTTTTAATTTAATTTATAATTTTTAATTCCAGCATAGTTAACATACAGTGTTATATTAGTTTCAGGCGTGTAATTTAGTGGTTCAACAATTTAATATACTACTCAGTGCTTATCATGATGACTGTACTTTTAATCCCCATCACCTATTTCACCCATCCTCCTACCCACTTCCCCTCTTTATGTAACCATCAATTTGCTCTCTGTAGTTAAGGGTCTGTTTCTTGGTTTGTCTCTTTTTTTTTGTTCATTTGCTTTGTTTCTTAAGTTCCACATGTGAGTGAAATCATATGGTATTTGTCTTTCTCTGATTATTTCACTTAGCATTATACTCTAGCTCCATCCATGTTGTTCAAATGGCAAGATTCCCTTCTTTTTTTATGGCTGAGTAATATTCCAAAGTGTGTGTGTGTGTGTGTCTGTGTATCACATCTTCTTTATTCATCTATCAGTAGACACTTTCACTTGCTTTTACATCCTGTCTGTTGTAAATAATACTAGAGTAAACTTAGAGGTGTGTATATCATACTCTTTGGGTAAATACCCAGTACGGTGATTACTAGATCATATGGTAGTTCTATTTTTAATTTTTTGAGGACTCTTTATGCTGTTGGTATTTACTTTGGAGTTAAAATTTTAAAACATCATTTAGGGATAATATGTAAGAAGGTCAACTTCAAGGTCTTCTCTTCCTACATCTCCATTTTTTAAATTAGAAGTAACACTGATTTTGTTATTGAATGACTACTGAATATGTTCTCCATTCATGGCAGAGTCTGAGTCTGTTAAATAGATTACACATTCTAGGACTGCAAAACATTTTTCTTCTAGAAAGATAAAGCCAACTGAAATAATCCTGAAAGAAAGGAGTGACTGAGAATTTGAAATGTTTTATCTGTAAGATTCCAAAATAGAACCCTTATGTTATTAGATCATAATATTATTTCCTTATTTCACAAATATTTATCATGTCCATTCTACCTGCCAGGCACTGTACTCAGTCCTGGAGTTAAAGGGGTCGAGAAGACAGGCAGATATGTCTCCACCTTCATGGAATTTAGGTACATGCATTAAAGCAGTTATTACAAATGTGGTAAATGTTATAAGAGGGATGTATAGTGACAGCATGTGGCCAGGAACCCCAACAAAGACCCTGATGAAAAAGAGACATTTAGGCTGAGCGATAAAGGGTGAGTGAGTTAGTTACTTTTGAGGAGAGACCAAGCATGGCACAACTGAGGAACTGAACAGGAAAGATTGATGGGCTGGAGCCACTGGTGTAAGTGAGCAGCAAGGGCTGAGAGTGGTAAGGAGGGTGGTGAGCCCCATGTGGTATAGAACTTTACACACAAATTAAGATGTTATCCTAGAGAAACAGAGAGCAATAGGAGGAGTTCAAGATTGAGAGTGTCATGGTGCGCCTGGGTGGCTCAGTAGGTTAAGCGTCCAACTTCAGCTTAGGTCATGACCTTACAGTTCGTGGGTTTGAGCCCTGCGTTGGGCTCTGTGCTGACAGCTCAGAGCCTGGAGCCTGTTTTAGATTCTGTGTCTCCCTCTCTCTTCGCTCCTCCCCCATTCTTGCTCTGTCTCTCAAGAATAAATTAAAAAGTTAAGAAAAAAGATTGAGAGTGTCATGATAAGATCTGTATTTTAGGAAAGTTATTCATGGTTTGGAGAATGGATTGGATCAGGAATTAATTAAATCAAGGAGACCACTTAGAAGGCTGAATAAGTCAAGTTTCAAATTTACAAATAGCTTTAGCTAAGTTTGGGTGGAAAGTGATATGATGTGACACTGGGCAGAGAGAATATGGGGTCAAAGGAGATTTTTATTTGTCTTTTGATTTATTTGATTTTACCACAGGAAAGGCTTGAGTATGATGGAAACCGCTAATTCAGAATAAATGCCAGAAGATACATAAAAAAGGAGGCAAACCAAAATTGACAGAGGCTAATAATCTGAATTTTCAATAAGATGATATTATTTAAATATGTGGCTACAGGGGCACCTGGGTGGCACAGTCGGTTAAGCGTCCGACTTCAGCCAGGTCACGATCTCGCGGTCCGTGAGTTCGAGCCCCGCGTCGGGCTCTAGGCTGATGGCTCAGAGCCTGGAGCCTGTTTCCGATTCTGTGTCTCCCTCTCTCTCTGCCCCTCCCCCGTTCATGCTCTGTCTCTCTCTGTCCCAAAAATAAATAAACGTTGAAAAAAAAATAAATAAATATGTGGCTACAATTTATTTAATGAGGACAGGGAAAAAACTGACCTTTCATGTGAAGGAAATGGCATACCTTTGAAGGAAATGGCCTACCCTATTTCCTATAAAATTCCAATTCAAAACAAGGGCTTTATTTGAGGCACTAAACATATAGCATTTAACTTACTTAGAACCGTCTTACATTTCAGCGTTTTTTACTCAAAACTGGTCATTTGGTAATTCTAAGAATGGAAGTTAAGCATGTTAGCTTTAGGCTTTGTTCAAAATATGTTTTCAAGTTCTTTTTCCTGGATTTCCTGTTGGCAAAAAGGTTCCCAGTTGTTCTCTAGTTCTTGGTTTCTATTGTGATTTTTTAAATCAGATAACATGTTTAGTAGCATTTATTAGGTTTCCTAAAAGGTAGCATTACTCTGTAGTTTTAGTTGGTTGTGGCTAATGTAGACATTGGGTTGCAAAGTCCCAAGAGCAAAGTGATAATCATATTTTCTCAAGGTAATCCTTGAGGATCCTATACATCAAATGTAGAATAGTGTATGTGGTATGGTATATATGCTTCTCTATGCCAGTATATAAATATACGTGTGTAAAATATATAGTGATATAGAGGACATATTAAAGTATACACATTAAAAACATAACTCTACCATATTTTAAATTATAGGATAGCAAGATAAGGAGAACAGAAGCATAAAAAAAAAGGAAAACAATGATACTAAATACTCACCATGCATCCTTCATATTTTTGCCTGGCTCTGGTCGTAATAATGGTGACTCACCATGAGGACGGATGCTGACGATAACAATGAGTTCAGTGCCTGTGTGATGAAGAATGAGATAATAAAGATGGGTATTGGGAATATGGTAATCCCACTAACCCTAGGGATTTGTTTTCCTCCTATCTGACAACACTGTTGTAGGTCCACACGAGCAGTGAGGAGACCAGCCGGCAGAATTGTTCATACTATTTAAATTCTTACTTGCTCAGCTCTCATTTTTGTTCTTGCTCTCCCATTGGTGGCTCATCTTCATTGATTTCACATAAGTCAAATACGCATTTATGCTTCTCCACTTTATTGGGTTTGAGGATTTCAGCTGACTCCAAAAAAATTGTCTACTGGTCAATTTCAGTGTGGTGGCAACACTATGGGGTTGTATCCTGCGGTGGGATCATAAAAACTCACTTGTAGTAGATCAGAGTTGGAGGGGAATTTGCTTGTTTGCTGTTTTGTCTGGTTTTAACTTCCATTCGGTAGGAGGGGGACCAATTTATATTTTATGGTTATATATGAAAACCTGTATTAACTGGTACTGTAATTCTATAATGATTTATCCCAGGGATTTTCTTTTAACCTCTTACGAATTGGCATGCTAGGCTGCTGCTCAGGTGACTTGACTGGGTTTTTTTAGTTTTTTTAAATATTTATTAATTTTTGAGGGGGGGGGAGGGGTAGAGAGCAAGGGAGACAGAGTCTGAAGCAGGCTCCAGGCTCTGAGCTGTCAGCACAGGGCCCAAGTTAGGGCTGGAACCCACAAACCATGAGATCATGACCTGAGCCGAAGTTGGATGCTCGACCAACTGAGCCACCCAGATGCCCCTCGTGTGACTTGACTTTTAATCCAGACCTGAAGATGGGGAAATGGTCCTTGGAAGTTCCCTGAGACGTTGAGATATGATGTGATGGAAAACATCTGACCTCTCATAGGAGAAGGGGCTTCTTATCAAATGTAAGGAGCAAGGCAGGACAGGGACATGAAACAGATTGGTGTGGATATTTGAAGCATTCCAATTTGATTAGGTGGGTCAGAGAGCAGGAGCATGGTAAGAAGTCAAGGTGGAGATGGGAATATGAACTGACTAGGGAAATAGAAGATTACTAAGTTGTTCCATTTCAGGCACCCAGTGGAAGATAATACTTACATGGAGACAACAACCTGCCCAGTTGTGGGACTTTTCTGTAGTAGAAGAGCAGCCTGGTTTAAGCACTGAGAAAGCCTTCATTTCAGGAAAAAAATATTTAGGAAGGACAGTATCAGAAACCCAAGGAGAGAACCAAACTACAAAACACTGAGAAGTTAAAACACGAAGGTAAGTTTGACAAAAAGTGAGAAATATACATTTCTAAGGCAGCAGGGCCAGGCCATAGGTGTTGAGGGTTTGGGAGTCCTGATCATGTGGATCCCAATGACCCTGAAGCTTCAGGTATTATTGTAATCAATAGACACTTAATTTTCTGGTGAATCAGTAATTCTTACAGCATATTTCCCCAGGTTGTTCCTATTGGAAATGTTAGCTATGAATTTTATCACCCCAAATAGTGGTTTCTGTTGTACTTTTTGAACACAGGAAAGGCTAAGCCATAACAGATTTCCTCATGGAAGCAGAGGGACCTGTAACGGGTGTCCATTTCCACTCTGTGCAGACTTTTCAGGAGTTAGTCAAACCCCAAGGAAGTTTCCAGGAAACAGCCATAGCTGTGTGACTCACCTAGCAAAAAACTGACGCCTGAACAGGAAGTCCTACCCCACAGCCGATGGTCAGTTTATTTTTAGTCAAGATTCAGGAAAGACAGGCAAAGAAGGCCCCATTCTTTCCTTGGTCACAGAGCATAGAGGTCAATAAAAATCTTGACTTTTACTGAATTTTAAGGGAGACCAGGAAAGCAGGCACTACCTCAGTTCTGACACTTACTTTCTGCAGGTCTTACAGAAAATTCTTTAGCTTAGAGGCTGAATGAAGCAATGGTTCTGTTTTCAATTTTTGTAGTCCTACTCCCTGAGCCAAGCACCATCAGCTCCATTTATTATAATAGCTATGTGGCCATGAGTGAGTTATTTAAGCTCTTTGTCCTGATTTACTCATCTATAAAAAACCACAAGAAATAGTATTGGTTGTGGGCACTCAAGGAGATAATATTTGCTGAGGCACAGTGCTTGGCACATAATAAGCATCTAGTGAAAGTTGTCTCTTGTGTGGGCCTGTTTTATCTTCTGTCAAGTGACGTTCGTAGACTAATATTCTTTCCAGCTCTGAAACTCTAAGATTCGGTGACAGAAAGGATTTTTGGTTAGTGTTATTATCCCACAGCTAGGATGAGCAAACGTCCTCTGTGAAGATCTGGGTAGTGGTGTTTTAGGCTTTGCACATCATACAGTCTTTATCGTGACTACTCGACACTGACACCATAGTGTGAAAGAAGCCAGAGATAACACTTAAAAGAATGGGCACAACAGCTGTGTTCCAACAAAACATTATTTACAAAATGAAGTGTAGCCTAGATTTGGCCCACGGGAAGTAGTGTGCCGACCTCTGTTCTGTAGGATAAAAATATGTGGAGAAGAGAAGTGAAATGCAATTTGTGATGGAAAAAGAACACAGAAAATCATGACCTGCAAACTCGTATAACCTTCTGCATATTTGTTTAGCTCAAAAACTTTTTTTTTTTGTATTGAGCATATGAAACAAAGCAGATGTTCTACAACAAAGGTAGATAATGGAAAGATACTAAACAGCTTTCACAAGCTAAAATATTTATAAATATTGAACAGATATAAGTATGTAAAATGAGTGAAATGGAAAACAGTGAGTGGCCCAGAAATTCACATTTGCTACAATTTGAAAGAAAGCAAGAAGAAGGCAATCATGCAAAAAAGCATGAGAAGCCCAGGTTGTAGCAAAAAGCTAATGTTGTTTCATGAAGGAGACAGTTATGGATTAAACTGGTTTAAACGCTTGCAGGGTGATTGCTCAACCTTCAAATCACATTCGATCTTATCTGGGTATCTGAATGTTACCAAGGCTGGGTTGGGGGCTATTTTCTTTATTAAGCTGACCTAGTGACTAGCCACTCAGCATTAGGCCTTGGTGGTATTGGGGTACCTTGACAAAGTGTAGGCAACTCTGTACCAGTCATGTAGTACCTGGGAACACAACTTGAAATTATGCTGAGGAAAGACAAGAATGCAATGAATAAGAAAGAGGACATGAAAGGAGCAAATGAAGAACTGCTAATGGAGCAATATAGATTTAGAGGCCACATTGCCCCCCCCCCCCCAGTTCCCCATCCCACCCCACCCCAGCATTCTCTGCGGGACAACACGGGAGATCACTACAGGGGCAGCGACTACCTGCCTGGGCACCTCTGAAGATGCCTCTGTGTCACAGCGACCTTTCTTCTTCCTTCCAGATCTCCCCCGATGGTTCTCTTAACTAGCGTTTACTAGTTTAAAAAAGAGCAAACAGGATGGTAATATTTGAGCAAAAACCTTACTGTCTGTATTTTTCCATCCTCTCATTTCAAGCATCCTAATACTTTGCTTGCATCAGGGATTTTGCACAACAGAAGACTTGATGTCAGTGGCCTTTCCTGTCTTTTGTGAAAGCTTAAACCCTCTGAAGAAATTATGCCAGGTGTTCCAGAGAGGGAAGAGAGAGAAGTGACTTTCAAGGTGGGTGAGATCTCCTGAGACAGTGGAAGAAGGTGGAGGTCAGAGGGTCCCTCTAACATTAGGGATCACACACTGCTCCTTGACAGAAGTCTGAGGGAGGGATGAGCCCCCTGGGACAGCTGCCGAGGACATGTAGGAAAGCTGGCTCTAGATTCAGAGGGCCCTGGCCTCACCTAAGCTTCCAGCACCCTGAGGGTGGCTGCTGGGGCTGGTGGCCCCCTTGGGACTGTGACAACAAGCATCTCAGAAGTAAGCAGCAAGGACAGTGGCCGGAGATCAGAGGGGCCACCCTGTTAATCGGGCAATGTATAAGTTCCTGCACAGGCCTTGAAGGTGGGGAGTCCCAGTAATGACTGGAATTTACTTTTCCCTACATCCTTGAGGGAGGGAGACCCAGAACAGATTTAAACCGATTTAAAGATACGAAGAAACATAACGATTCTTGCAAAATAGCTTCTGTGGGCTGATATTCATCTACCAGCAAATGTTTGGGAGTACGGGGTGGGAAGGAAGAGGGACTCTCATATTCTACTTGGCACCGTCCCTGGCTCAGAACTAGCAAGCTCCCCAAGGAGCAGATTAGGTGTGTGGAGGCAGCGTGACCGCAGAGGCTGAGAAAGAGCAGAGGGCTGCCTTATAAATCCTTCAGCGGGTAAATGAGTGCCCAGAAAAACAGAGAGAGTGGGTGGAGTAACATAATTGAAAACAGCTGATCTGCAAAGCAGGCCTAATTTTTTCTGAACTAAGAATGAGTAAAATGTCTTTTCAAGAACTGGGTGTAAAAATGGAACCAGGAGATAAAGAAAACCCACTATATTTAGTTGTTCACACACACGCACACACAGCTAATATAGTAGCCATGGATGCATTAAGAAAATCTTCTCTTGTACTTTTCATAACTTGTCTGTTTGACGACCCAGTATTTGAAAACTGGGGAACATAAGGTTTCCTGACCCATGGATAAGCTTTAAAAGCCAATGGGCCCAATCTCATTGGGAAGCATAACCACTCAGGAGGCTCAGCGTGGACTTCTAGCTGCAAAGGCTGTGCTTTCCTGAGAAAAGTACAAGAGAACGGAGAGGAGAGTGGGGACGCCACCCAACAGGCCAGGTTAGCTGGGTCAGCCCTGGCCATCTAGGTAGCTAGTGCCCTATGCTAACCTAACCTCCTATCCACTTTCTCCCCCAGCTCTTGTTTCAATGAGATCAAAGGGATCCAGGTAGCAAGTCACTGGCTTAATCGATAGATGCGGTGTAACCTTCATTGTTACTGTGAAATATTCCGGTCATATTCTGAGCACTAAATAATTCCCTCAGAGCGAGTTGCATGGCAGTAATTCAAACCGTATTCTCTGGCCCTGGAACTCAGTCATTTACCTCCTCTTTGTCATGCTGCCTCCAGGAGCCCAGCAATTCCTTTTACCTGCATTCCATAGATGTAGCACCAGCTGTGGGCACCCATCCACTGAAGTCTGTTAATAACCACACGAGGTCAATAGTTTATTTTGAAATGTCACATAAAGGAGAGCAGAAATCACACAAAAGAAAAAGATTCCTTTTAGAAACAAACAATGAAGAGGCTCTAATAGTTAGCACCTGGGAAATACGATTTTACTTTTTTGTTTTGTTAGTATACTCATTATTAAGGTCCAGTCTGGGGTGGGGAGCCCAATAAGCTGGACAGACTTTGAGAAAAAGGATCCGGACAAAACCACTCATTTATTTTTATAAAATTGCATTCATTAAATGATAATGAGAGAAAACATCCATAAAGGTGAGAAGACAATAAAACACATCCTTTCTCTTTGAAGAATTATGCATCCCCAGTGCACAGGAATTAACCGCTATCTGCAAATGTTTTATTGAATTTGCCTTTCTTTTTTTCCCCTGTACAAAAATTGATCACCACAGATGTGGTCTTGAAATCCCTGTGGTTTCTGAAATCCTATTCAAAAGGAGCATATATTTTCCTATTCCTGCAGTTTGAGCCACTCACCAACAGAGGAACTAAGTCAAATTATTTGATTTCTTTTTTTACAAAATTAGCATACTGGTAGATTAGCAAAATGCCATTGACATGGTCTATCTTTGTCCATTGGCTTAGTCATCAATCATTAAGCATTTAACGACCATCTAATGTGTCTGAAGCACTGGGAAAACAGACTTCAAGAAAACATTAGTCCCTGCCCACATGGAGCTGAATTTAGTAGAGTAGGGGGACAGATCAACAAAGCATCAGGATAATATTTTGAAATATTATGAGAACTCTTTTCCTTTCTCAGAAAATCTCGTTTTACCTTGTGGCCCTTTCGCCATTTAACCAGACCAAGAGACTAAAGCTGATTGCCCCAAAGAAGAAAAGACACACAAGAATCCAGCCAGAACAGAGTCCAATATCTGGCTGAGAATATAAAAAGAAAGCCTTTTAAAAGCTGTCATTTCTAAGAGCCTGGTGATTGGGGGAGGGATGAAGCTGGGGGTTCACTTTTGTTGTATTTATTTATTCATTTACTCATTTATTTTTGAATTCTAAAACCTTGCCTCTGACTCAGTAAAGCAAAGCCTGAAAAAGGAGCCAGTTTCTTCCTGGGAGCGGGGCAGACTGCACGATGACCCAAGCAGCAGCTTCCCAGCCTTGGAGGGGACTGAGACCTTTTCTGAGTTGGGGAAGGAGTCTTGAGAGGACAGAGAAAGGAGAGCTAGAGTGTTGAGATGCAAATGTGGGATTTGCCCAAACTGAGGGATGGAGGTGGAGGGTGCCAGAGTGTGCCTCCTAGAAACATTAGGGTCTAAGAATAGAAGGTACCCTGTTCCCATTTGGAGTAGCCATGCTGGTCTTCTCTTTGGCCATTGCCCATGCTCAACAATGTGTTAGATATTTTTATCATTCTTACTCTGGAGGGTTTCAGTGAGTTTTATTCAGGGGTGTCCCATGATGTGACCTGTAGTTCTGAAAGAACTTTAGTGAGGATGAAGTGCATACACTGAAGGAGAAAGTTCCAGAGACATGAAGAGCAGCTTAGAGGCAGTTGCCCTGGCATAAGGGGCGAGTGGAGGAGACAGTCCAGTTCAGTAGTGGCAACACTTCACTGCTTTAAACCAGTCTAATCTTCATACCAGTTTGCTTCTGAGGAAAGTGTGGGAGAGAGAGGGTCTGGGATTGCCCCAGTTTTCCAGCATAGCGGGCTAGATGGTGGTGCCATCAACCAATAGGCTCCTGAGCAGTAGGAGTGGCTGAGGAAGGCAGATGGTGAGTCTAGTTTTCATCCAGGCATGTTATGAGGTCTTAGGAAATCCTTGAGAAATTGGAGAAATGCCAATTGGTTGATACTGTGGTAAGTAGTATCTGAAGCTAGTGGAACAGGGGAGCCTGGGCGGCTCAGTGGGTTAAGTGTCCCACTCTTAATCTTGGCTCAGGTCATGATTTCACAGTTTGTGAGACTGAGTCCCATGTAGAGCTCCATGCTGGGTGTGGAGCCTGCTTAAGATTCTCCCTCTCTCTCTCTCCTTCTGCCCTTTCCTCTCTCTCTGTCTCTCTGTCTCTCTGTCTCTCTGTCTCAGAAAGAAAGAAAGAAAGAAAGAAAGAAAGAAAGAAAGAAAGAAAGA